AATACATATATTACATAATATTTACCTAAATTAACAACCAATAACTTTAACAAAGTTTTAACAGTGCTAATGCTAGAAAAAAAATGAAAATGAACAAGAGAAACATAAAACGATAGAACAAAAATGAAACATTAGTGCTAATATTTTACATATATATATAATTTTTTTTTAAATTATCGGGTTCGGGTTGAAATCGGATTAGGATTTTCTAACCCAAGCCCAACCCAAATTGAATTCGGGTTGGGTTTTTTTGACCCAAGCTCAACCCAAGTATTAAAAACCCTTGCCCAAGTCTTAATTTTTTCGGGTTGAAATCGGGTAGCCCAACCCAAATTGCACCCCTATCCAAAACCACGTTGCAGTAAGTGAGGCTCCTATAGTAAAAGGAAAATTAACTCAAACAACTATGTGTAGTGCTCTATTACCTCACCATGAAGCTTATGTCTGAACTAAATGACTAGAGAGTAAAAGGAATGCTCCTTAATTCCCTATGTCAATCAATATTGCAAAGAGAATGTGCTTCACTCACCAAAACAATAACGTAAAAGTTCCAATTCATTTGCTCGGCTGATTAGGGCACCATAAATGAACGTTGCAGTGACTGTCCAACAAAGACAGCAACCAGGACCAGCTGAAAGCACCAAAAACCATGAGATAAAGCTAAAATCCAGCTGAAGTCCAGTAGGGGAAGCAGCAGCTGAGGAGAATCGTTGAAAATCCATTAGCAGCAACCCAGCAAATTAAGCCAGAAAAGTGGCAAAGAAGAAAAGGGAGAGCCAGAAGAGAGCAGCTGAATTCCAGCTGTGAATCTAGCTGAAATGAACTGGTAAACCAGTAAAGGATCTGCTCCACACCAGACAAAATCCAAAAAACAGCAGAACAGAAGGCATCAGTAGCAACAGGCAGACTGTTCACGTGAATAGTCACGTGAACAGTGCGCAGCACAGCACAGCACAAAGGAGAAAAAGAAGCCCTGCAGCATAACACAGCACCATTCCAGTCAAAACAGAACACTGCAGCACCAAGACAGCACCTCCAATAGTAGGAAAACCAAATGAAGAAGAGGAAGGCCAACAAAAGTTGGCTTTAACCCTTCAACATGAAAAAACCTTTGAAGTCAGAACCGAGTAGGAACTTTCACCAACCAGCTAGAAATACCCTGCCCAGAATCAGAACCCCAGAAGCACATCACTCACTGCATCCAAACTGATACTGAACCAAGGAAGCCATTTAAAACTACCCAGAACACCAATCAGCACATGCAGTTTAGAAAAGGAAGATTTTTCAGATTCAAAAGAAAGCCAAAACAAAATTAGCCTATCTATGTGTGAATTTTACATATTGCATGTAATTTAAATGCATTCTACTGCCTATGGTATGCAAGTTGCATGTTTTGTGGGGAAACTAATAGAGCAGGCTTGAAAAACTACTTAATAAAGTCGAATCTTCACTTAATGAGTCATTGCTTTTCTTGGAAATAACCTTGAATGCCCTTACAATTATGTGTAGTTATTTGTTTTTGAACCTTTTGATGATTCTCTTGAATACTTAGATTAACCAGCTATTCTCCTGATGTAATGTTTTGGGGTACTTGAATGGTTTGGAGTCTTTAATGGTTTGGATTTTTCACATAAAGGAATGTGTTTTAGTAGGCCATAAAGGTTATAAAGATAAGGATTTGGATCTCCTCAATATCAGTTATCAAACTTTCCATAGTTTAGCCCCCAATGCGAAGGCAATTCAATTAAACCCAATGCAATTCAATAAAACCCAATTCAATATCATACCAAAAGGAACAAAACAATTTAATCCAATGCCCATAGCTGTCCAAAAATTTAGAAACATCCAGAAGACTAACAGCATAATCAACTAATTCATTTCCACATACTTAGTTCAAGCTAAGCAACCAATCATAAATCCAACAATTATAATGAAAACTATGACCCCAACACTGAAAATAGAAGCAGCCCAATTCAAACAAGATGTCTTGTGTGTCCCACTCATAGCTATAGTGTTATCAATCGCTAAAACCACAACCGCAATTGGGTCCAATAAATTAAACCCTTCAGCAAAGGAGTTCACTTGAATTCTAAGGAAATCCGCATCAGATTTTATCATACTAGCAAAATAAGAAGACCATGAACGCCCTAACCTAGCAGCACCAACATTGGCCTCTAGTAAAATATTACCCGTAGCAATAAAAGCAAGAAAATCACCCAACTCGATTCAAAGAAATGAGAAAGACCCACCTGCCACAGTTATTTCCATAGCAAATTTAGTGTAACAGAATACGGATAGCAATGCAAAGAGGCCTAAAGCGGCATAAGAAAGAGCTATAGCTGGGCCAGCATCGTTGTGGAGAGGTTTTGGAAGGAGGGCGCTGGGAAAAAGTCTTGTTTGCTGAATCGCCAGTAGGATTTTGGTGGTGGTGGTTGTGGTGGTTCCATGGCGGAGGATTTGGAGTGAGAGGCGAAATGGGTATTGAGAGGAGTGATCAAATCTTGAGAGATTTGAGAATCAATGTTAGAATCAACCATTGTTACCAAAATGTAGGCTCAAAGGAAAAAAAATTCAATATCCACCAACTGATTTCAATATAAGAACACATCTAATTAACAAAAACAACTCACCAAAAAATATTTGGAAAAACAAGAACAAAAATTTATATAAATCCACAAATAGAGATTCAATCAATCAAAAAACAAGAACCATGAGACAATCGAAACCATAAAGAAACAAATTTGAAGCTTTAGGGTTTTACCTTCGCATATCGATAAGAAACTCAGTTAAGGGGAGGGGTTTAGGTGAAATGAGAATAGCTGAACCAGCAAACGATGGTCTAAAGCAGTGAACAATGGTCTGAAGCTTCGATGGTCTGAGTCTGGCAGAGAGAGGCAGAATACCCAAAGCGTTAAGCAAATCTTAAGCTTCGATGGAGTTTTGAGGCAGAGAGAGGCAGGGATAAATGGAGATTTGTGGTCAATCCATGAAGCGCCAGAGAGAAACAGAAAGAGAGAGGCGGAGACTAGTGCGAGGGATTTATCTAGTCTATTGTAGATGCTTAATATTATTAACCTCTTAAAATTAATAAAAAAATATGACGTTAAAAGTGCGTTTGAAGTGACTTTTTAAACAACCAATAACTTAACAAAGTTTTAACAGTGCTAATGCTAGAAAAAAAATGAAAATGAACAAGAGAAACAGAAAATGACAAACAAAAATCAAACATTAGTGCTAATGCTTATATATATATATATATAAATTTTTTTTTTAAATTGTCGGGTTCGAGTTGAAATCGAGTTAGGATTTTCTAACCCAAGCCCAACCCAAATTGAATTCGGGTTGGGATTTTCTGACCCAAGTTCAACCCAAGTATTAAAAACCCTTACCCAAGTCCTAATTTTTTCGGGTTGGGCTCGGGTTGCCCAACCCAAGTTGCACCCCTAACCATCGTCGTCGCCACCACTACCACCACCATCACCAAATTTAAACATCGCAAATTATATATTTTTACTTTATTTGTATATTAACCTTATATTATTATTTATCAGGGAATCACCTTTTTTTTGAGAGAGAAAAACATTTCTCGTGCCAAAAATAATTGGAAGGGGACACTTTATGCGACATTTTTAAAAACATCGCCAAAAACTTTTTAAGTCTAATTTAAAATTTCTAATTATCAATTCCTGTCATTCCTCGTGCCAAGAAATGTTAATAAATTTACATTCTACAACAAATTCAAAAAAACATAGCCAATTGATATTATTATTTCATTTAACCTTAATAATGAAAATTTATCTTGCAAAAAATATTTTAAGATAAATTTACATCCTACGACGAATTTATAAAAACTTTGCCAATTGACATTATTATTTCATTTAACATTAATAAATAAAATTTATCTTCTGAGACATTTTTAGAAACGTCGCTAAAAACTTTTAAGGTCTAATTTAAAATTTCTAATCATCAATTTCCGTCATTCCTCGCGCCAAGAAAAGTTAGAAGAATATGACATTTTCGCGATGTTTTTCAAAAACGTTGCAAAAAAACAATTTAAGTCTAATTTAAAATTAATAAATTTACATTCTACGATGAATTGAGAAAAACGTCGCCAATTGACATTATTATTTCATTTAAATTGAATAATGAAAATTTAACTTCAGCGACGTTTTTCAAAAAAATATTTTAAGTCTAATTTAAAATTAATAAATTTACATTCTGCGACAAATTGAAAAAACACGTCGCCAATTGACATTATTATTTCATTTAACTTTAATAATGAAAATTTATCTTCAGAGACGCAAAAAACCATTTTAAGTCAATAATTGTTTGTCGTAAAAAATCTTAATTTCCCGCCATTTCTTGCAACAAAAGTATTAAAACGTCGCCGATAGTATACTTTTTTGCAATGAATAAATGATTTTTGTTATAGTGAACTATGGATAAACGTGATCTTCGAGTAGTGGTTATCCCGATAATTACTCCCCACATGCGTTGATTTCCTAGGTCTCTTAAACTTTGGACTGTGTTGAGGCCATTATCCAAGTTTGACCTACTTTTTAATTACTTGGACTTAACCCATGAATTGGGCCTGACCCAACTAAATCTGGGCTCATCATTTGCCCCCCATGCCCCAAACTATTGCAATGACAAGAGGTTGAGGGCATGAGTGAGCTCTTCGTTAACGCGAACTAGGTGCCTTATTCGCCACGGTAGTTTATTCATTCCTTCATCCTTTTGCATTCACGATGCTTTTTTCCTCGTTTGATAACTCCATGGTTGGGCATCCATTGCATTAACCATTATCCCTTGTGTTGTGTCTTCCACTGAACTTGAACCCCTTTTTTATCTAGGGCACCAATCTTTAGGACTTTAAAGAGCACCCCCATTTTACCCAAAATAAATCCTTTGGAACTAAGGCTCAGAAACACCCTTCACCTCCTTATTCCAAAAACCATTGAGAGGGGGTTGACCATTGATAGAGGATAAAGAAGAGAGACATGGAGGCAAGCGAGAAGATGATGAAGAAGGGGACCTCAAAGCTAGAGGAAACAATGGGGTTTTCCATGGTCGGTGCCATAGGCTCTTCCAAGTCTAAGAAAATCGAAGGGCAAGGAGACGGTGCAAAAGAAGCAAGCTTTGCCAGCGCAAGGATAGGCGACGCCGGAGTGGTTGGAGGTGATGCTAGTGTGGGGAGGCTGGGCGATGATAAATCTATTGAAAATAATGATGGAATGGCTAGCATCAACAAAATGGGCAACAAGGATGGGGCCCAAGGCACAACTAGTGACGCCAAAAGGGACAGCGAGGGTGGCACCGATGGCGTAAATGGTGACGCAGTGAGAGGCGTGCCCATGGAACAACTGGCGATGCCAAAAGCGAGGGTGGCACCTATGGCATGATTGGCGCGATTGGCACTAGTGCTTGCATGTGCATATTGCAAGGCTACAATCCTGGAATACTGGGCTCTGGTGGGCAGCTATCTGTCGTTTGTCAGGGGCAACACATAGGAGTGTCGAGTGTCAAAGGTAGCGTATTAGGCTTTGTCATGGAGGGAGAGTGTGACGCCTTTTGGCTAGGTAAGGAGATCCTCCTCCTCCCTTATTGCCTCGTTGTTTTGATATTTCTTTGACATTGACATTTTCTTAATATTGGCTTCCATTTTCGCAGTTGCCTAATCTTATATAGGTGTGAGGGTAGACTCTGTACAAACTTCTTAGCGAGCCAAGGGGGCTGCTAACAGTGATGGTGTAAAGGTAACTTTGACTTTCAGTTCCATAAACTGTGACACTAATATTGCTAGCATTGTTTCGTCTTTTCATATACCTCCCACTATTCTGTGCTGCCGAGCCGAGGTGGACGAGCAGGTGTGCTTCAATTCCTCCAGGGAGATTGTCTTTTATGAAAACATCTTGGAAGCATGATTGAGATTTCCCATACCCAGGTGCATCTGTCAAATTCTAGGTCACTTGTCACTTACCCTAGGGAGGTTGACCCCGAATGGCTAGAGGGTAATTTTGGCGTTCCTTTCACTATGGTAGTTGGTTCATGGTGAGGATGTTTCTCCCCCTTTGGAGGATTTCTTGGCTTCTGGATTATCCTACTCCTTATCAGGGACGGTACCACTTTTATCCAAGGTCCGATAAGTTTATTATTGGGCTACCTTCAAATTGCCACAGCTAAAATTCTAGTTTTTTCTTCATTGGATGTGAATGAGCTGCTAAGGAGGACCGTAACTTAATGGCCTTGAGGTGGGATACTCTTCCGAAAGCCAAGCTAAGTATGAGTTTTTTCCCTTAATTTCATACCTGAATGTCATGTCTTTCTTGTACTTATCAAATGTTTGGTTCCTTTGCTGCTCCACTCGTGCTATCTATGAAGTAGGAGAGTAGGCTTCAGGCTGTAAGGGATCATCTTATCAAGAAATTTTCAGCCCTCATGTCTACGTCGTGCCATTCTAGAGCCTCCTCTAGGCATAAGAGGAAAGGTATTTGATACTTTCCATAAGCTTGATACTGTCTGTAAACTCTTCTTCTTATGCTAGTTCCACAAGTACTACTGTTGATAGAGTGATGGTGGAAGCTCTCTACACTTCTAGGGTGGCATATTCCATTCCTCTCAAGAGGGCGAGGAATGATGCCCTTAGTCCCTCTCGACGGTCCGACGGCCATTCCATAACCTAGGAGGCTAGATCTGAGGGTGCCCCCACTTTTTCTCAGCACACAGCTCCTTTAAGTGCTTGGGTTAGTCCAACCACTATTATAGGGGTTGAGACTCCTATGCGGTCCTCTATCGGAACTAGGGCTTCACGTTGTTGTCCAACTTCTAACAGTGGCTTGGTGTCTATGTTGTAAGACGTAAATTTGGCCAAGGATCGACTTTGAAGGTTTGTGACGGTCGTGGATATTAGAGAGGTTAGCTCTCGAGGTCTAAAAGGCATCATTGAAACTACGATGGAAAGGTTTGCTAGGGTGTACCTTCCTCCCTTTTAGCTTTGATTTCTACACTTATCCTTTCTTTCATGTTCTGCCCTTTGAATGCTTGTAGATTGTTGTCACTTTTTCATGCCTTTTTTTGAAGATTTTTAAGCTTGGAGGGGCAACGAGGGCTCTGGTAGAAGAGAGGAAGACACGAGAGTCTACTAAGGAGTAGTTAAGGTTAGCTCATGAGAGAGATTCACATCTTGAGGATGAGCTTTAAACATCCCGTGAAAGGGCCACAAAGATGGAGGCTAATAGGGAGGCTGTTTGCTCGAGAGTTGAGTTAGAGATGTGAGCATCTCGTGAGAGGCCTGCAAGAGCTGAGACCGAGTTATGGATGTCTCAAGAAATGGTTTTTGTGGTAAATTTTCACCTACGAGTAGCTCGTGAGAGAACCACTAGGGTAAAGGCTCATTTCATTGAGATGGAGAGAAGGAGGGAGCCTATTGAGAAGGTCGTCACTGGTGCTTTTATTGATGGTTATGAGGATTTTAGGGGCAATGTCTCAATAGCTTTCCTTGCCGTTGAATTTTCTAGATCCCATATGAGGCATCGAGGACTAATGGTGATGAGAAGAGCTTTGATGAGAGTGTATCGGGGAGTAGTGAGCGATGTCAGGAGTATGACGACTTTTGTCTTTTTGTCTCTCTTTTTGTTGTTAGGTCATGCTCTTTTGTAAATTGTTTACAAAATTCTATGGAATGAAAGATAGTTCTAGACAAAATAACTCTTGCAAAGTTTTATTTCATGATTTAAAGTAACAGATAACAAAAGAAATTGATGAAACAACAAAAGACAAATAAAATGAGAGTCATTGACTTATACCCCACTATTGATAATACCTCTTTAGGTGTTCGGTGTTTCATGGATAGGCCAAGACTTTTTCTTTAGAGTTCTGAATTTTGTAGGTTCTTGATCTTACAACTTCTATCACTATGCAGGGTCCCTCCCAATTAGGGCCTAACTTCCCTTCTAGAGAGTCCTTGGTAGATAGGATTTCTTTTTTTGAGGACTAGATCCCTAGGCAAGAAAGGGTGAGGCTTCACCCTCAAGTTGCAATACTTGGTCATGTAGCGCTTGTACTCTGCATTCCTGAGCATGGCCATTTACCTCTCCTTCTTTACCAAGTCGTGGTTGTTGCGGAGGCCTTCTTTGTCAGTGGTAAGGTCATGGTTTTGGACCCTAAGAGAGTGTACCCCAATCTCTACTGGAATGACTACCTCTATGTCGTAGGCTAAAGAAAAGGTGTCTCACCTATAGGGCTTCTTGGAGTTGTCCGGTAGGCCCACAATACTCTTGGGAGTTCATCTACCCATCGGCCTTTGGCGCTTTCCAGCCTAATCTTCAACTTACAGAGGATCATTCTGATGGTGATCGTTGTCTGCCCATTTGCCTAGGGATGGGCTAGGTTGGAATGAGATTGCTTGATCTATAGGTCCACGCAGAAGCCATTAAGGAGTTTATTGTCAAACTGTTTAGCATTATCACTAACTATTGTATGAGGTACTCTGAAACAGCATACTATGCTCTTCCAAATGAAGTCCTTAACTTTCTGGTCTGTTATTTTAGCTAAGGACTCAGCTTCTGCCCACTTTATGAAGTAGTAAATGGTTACTACTACAAATTTGCATTGACCCTGACTCATGGGTTGGGGACCTAAGATGTTGATCCCCCATATAGAGAAGGGTTATGGGCTTAGGATGGTGGTGAGCTCTTCTAGTGGTTTTCTTAGCACCGTTGCAAAGTGTTGGCATTTATCACACTTCTTTACGAATTCATGGGCATCTTTAATCAAGTTAGGCCAATAGTAGTCTTGCCTCACTGCCTTGTGACCTAGTGCACACCCTCCTAAGTGGTTTCTGCATATCTCCTCATGGGTTTTTGTCATAGCGTAATCAAACTCCTCGGGAGAGAGATAGCTGAGTGGAGGAAAGAGTAACATCTCTTGTAAAGGGTGTCACGCAAGATTACGTACCTAGACACTCTCATTCTGAACTTCTTTATTTCCATTGGATTATCTGGGAGAACTCCTTCCTCTAGATAGGCTCGGATAGGTTCATCTAATTAGCCTCAGAGGATGCACAATTGACTTTGTCTTCTTCTACCCTGAGTTTGCTTGGCTCAAACTAGTGGCCTATCAGTGCGGGGCCCATTAGTATGTTTGCATATGCTAACTTGGCGAATGCATCTGCCATGACATTCTTTTCCTTGGGCACATGCTAAATTTGGAAGTGGTTGAACTTTTTTAGCAAAGCTTGGACCACTGACAGGTATTCTTACATCTTTTCCTTATTGCTTCAAAGTCTCCCTTTACCTAGTTGACTATCAGTTTGGAATCACTATAAACCTTCAAGTAAAGGGCCTTCATCTCAATTGCAAGCTTCAAGCCTAATATTAGGGCCTCGTATTTTGCTTGGTTGTTTGATGTCACAAAATGGTGGGAGACGACATATTTAATCGAGTAAGCACTAGCCCTGCTATGCCGCCCTCACTAGTAGAAGACTCATCCACGTATAGCTTCCAACATGTTATTACAATAGTGGGAGATGCCTAATTGGGTGTGCCTGTGCACTCAAGCAAGGGCACAACAGGCCGAGGTATGGGTGACGAGGGCGCTAAGGACTCTAGGGGAGTAGATTCTAAGGAACTGGGCTCCTCTGGCCTAGGAGCCTAAACTTTAGGGACCTGGGAGGCCGACTCCAAGGTACCTGGTTCTCAGGGGATGACGTTGGGGCTTGACTCATGGGGAGTTGTGGCGCTATGTACTAGGCAGATGATCACTGGGGCACATGGCACTCCTTCTTGGGAATCTTCTTCTGGTAGTGTAGATTCGACCACAAAGTCCACAATTGCTTGCATTTTTATGGTCGCTCTCGATTGGTACTACACATTGAACTCACTCAACTCGACGGCCTATTTAAGGAGTCTACCAAACACATATGGCTTTCCAAGGATTCCTTTGAGTGATTGATATGTGATAACCACAATGGTGTGGCTCTGGAAATAGTGGCATAGGCACCAGACAACGTTTACAAATGCGAGGGCCAACTTTTCCAATTCAAAGTATCTCACTTCTGTTCCTCGATACACCCTACTTACATAATACACAGGCCTTTTGACTCCTCCATCTTTCTTGGCCAAGATGAAGCTCATGGCTTAGGACGAGGAGGAGAGGTAGAGATACAAGATCTCTTCTGGTACGACATTGGAGAGTAAGGTGGCGTAATAAGATAGGCCTTTAACTTTTGGAAAGCCTCCTCTGTATCTAGTCCCCATTGAAAAGACTTTCAAAGAGTTTTGAAGAAAGGTAGGCAGTTATCTACTGATTCTGAGATAAACCTGCTGAGGGCTGCTATCGTTCCGTTAAGGCACTAGACCTCATTCACAAAAATTGGGTATTTCATCTCCAGGATAGCTCTGATCTTGTCTATATTAGCCACAATGCCCATATTTTTAATCATGAAGCCAAGAAACTTCCCTAAGCTAACATCGAAGGCACACTTTCCAAGATTTAGCTTCATCTGGAAGGTTCGCAGGATGTCAAAAATCTCGTGTAGGTGTGCTACATGGTCTGTCATCTCCAAGATTTTTACTAACAT